GAATCCGTATCTACCACCCACACACACACACACAATGGCCATTGCACGGACACCATGCCCACCACACACACACACACACACACACGTGCACAGACACCATGCCTACCACACACACCATGCACGTGACACACTGCATTACTACCGGCTAATGTGTGGGACAAGTCTCCCAGCGGTGAAGCACGACCACAGGCAGAGGAGGCAGCAGAGCGACCCTGAGCAGGCTGGGAATTTCCCGAGCTAGAGCAGAGCTTGGTGGGAGGAAGGCGGAGGCCGGGTTGGCTGGCAGCGCGGATGAAATGAGTGGGAGCTCTGGATACGAAAACAGCAGGGTTCAGAGAAGTGGATGAGAAGTGGAAGAGAAATGGAAGCCCGGCATTGGAGGAGAGCAACCCAGGCTTGTGCCCGCAGACAGGCGGGTCTGCGATCGAGCCCCACAGACTGGCATGGAGAGGCCCGATGACCTCACGGTGCCACGACCAGCAGAAAGCGAGCAGCGAGCGAAGTTTCGAGGAGGAAGTGGTCAAAGTGTCACATACGGCTACAGGAGAACAGAGATAAGGGCCGAGGAGTGGCCGCAGCGAGTTCCAGGAAACGCATCAGTGTTTGCCACAACAGCCTCAGAAGAAGCGGGGGAGTGGGCAGAAGGTCAAAAGGGACAGCCCGAGTAGGGAGGGCCTCGGGGACTTTGGCCTAGACCCAGGGAGCACAGGGCAGAGGGTGGGTGTTCTTCCACATGCTGGACCCCGCTGTGAGGCTTTGGCTCCTGTTTGGAACTTGAGTTGGGAACCTGGTCCTGGTGGTAGTGGGGGATTGAAATAATTGATGGAAGCCCCTAGAAGCGTGTCGTGTCCCCATTGCATGACTAAGAAGGAGGTACTGTTCCTTCCTCTTGGCAAATGGAACGTGGAAATGGAGGAGAGCGATTTTGCTGCAGGAAAATGGCGTTACTAGAGTTGGAACCTGACCCTTTCCCGGTACCTCCTGATTGGGACATGGGTTTGCTGCACGAGGCGGGATGAGGAAGGCGTGCAGGCAGGGCAGACTGGAGCCGGCTCGTGGCGTCTTTGGGAGTGCAGAGGAACCCGGGATGAGCTCAGAGGGCAGTCTGGGCTGAGACAGGGTGCCCCAGCCTTCCACCGTCACCTTCCGCTACCCATGAGATGAGGACTCGGGGCCTCTGGCTGCTGACGCGGAGTGTGGGACTGAGACCGAGCAGGGAGCTGGCTGCAGCCACCCTGTGCGGCACGGTGGTGACTGCTCCTTACAGCACGACGTTACAGCTGAGCCGACACGAGAGCCTGCATTGACAGACACAACACGGAGATTTACTGCTAAGTGAGGCAAGCCAGACTGAGCGGCACTGAAGACTCGGGGCCTCTGGCTGCTGACGCGGAGTGTGGGACTGAGACCGAGCAGGGAGCTGGCTGCAGCCACCCTGTGCGGCACGGTGGTGACTGCTCCTTACAGCACGACGTTACAGCTGAGCCGACACGAGAGCCTGCATTGACAGACACAACACGGAGATTTACTGCTAAGTGAGGCAAGCCAGACTGAGCGGCACTGAATGTCCCCACTCAGTATAGACCGGATGTCCGCGCTCCCCGGCAGGAGCTGAAGGGCTGGAAGGTTTAAAGGCATGGAGAGCCGCAGATACCAGAGACAGCGTGGGAGGAGGGTGGGACGTGGAGGGGCGAGAGGGAGGGAGTCGAGGGCACAAAGAGCAGACACTGCAGGGCCACCACAGAAAGTTCCCTGCTGAAGGCCATGTGTGTGGTAGATCCTTGCCTGGACCGACACACAGTGTAGTCAGGGCGGGCAAATTCCTTTGATGTGCTGTGAGGATGCACAGTGACAGTGTAAAAAACAGATACATAAAAAGGCAAAAGGAAAACAATTGAAAAAGCTTAAATATGAAATATGTCTTTAAAAAGAATGCAGCTGGGTAAGTGGAATGAGTTCTCCAGGGCTCAGGGCACGGTGGAGTAACTGCTGCTGAAAACGGTTCAATGTGTATTTCCCAACAGCGAGCAGAGGGGACCTCGAATGGCCACGACACAAAGCAGGGGTGAAGGTAAGTTCTCGGATGTGCGTTTATTGCCTGATCTGATCATGCGTGTTGTGCACGTGTGTTCAGACACACTGTAGCCCAGGACGACGCGCAGGGAGGACGCGCAGCTGCTATACGGAGATGAGAAATGGTCGCGCAGGAATGTGCCGGCTCCCCGGCAGCCCCCCCCTTCCCGCCCGGG